ACAGCAGCGCCACGCCCCCAGCAGCAGGGCCACGCTCCCAGCAGCAGGGCCCCGCAGGGTTCCCCCGTGGCCCATCTCTGCCCCTCTCCACCGCTGAGCTCTCACCTGCTCTGTGACAAATTTGTTAACGTCCTGGTCCTCGGGCAGGAATTCCTTCCAGCTCAGGCCCCCATCCCGCCACAGCTTCCCTGCGGTCTTCTGGCTCTACAGGACAGACAGATGGCATCAGCACCCCCATACCCTCCACCTCCAGTGAGGGGGATACCGCGGCTTGGCCACACCACCCCCATGACCCAAACACAGCAAGGGATGGCCCCTGCCATCCCCTCTGGCAGTGGTGGCAAAGGGCTTCAATCCCCACATGCCAACCTGCCCCCTCCCCAAGGCAGCTGCCAGCAGCTAGGTGAGCCCCGTGCGCTTACCATGCCCTTGCACAACAAGCCCAGCACCTCGACCAGCAGCGTAGTGGCCTTCCCAATAGGCACCAGGGGCTTCGTTATCTCCCTGTGGGGCACAAGTGACCTGGTTGAGCTACCCACCCCCAGGAACCCCCCTGAGAAGCCGTGGCAGCCCCACAGAGGGGCACAGCCCTCACCTGAACAGCTCCTCCATGGGGATGCCTTCCTCTTGCAGGATGGGGGTGATGAGCTCGGCCAGGTACAGCCAGATGTGGGGGATGTCAATCTCCATGTCTTCTGCGATCTCCAGGATCTCCCGCAGCCTGCAGGGCAGAGAGGGGCCATTGGGATCCAGCAACACCCATGCCCCTCAGCTGGGAGGGACCTCGGGAGGTCTCAGTGATGAGCCCTGCCCATGGCAGAGCCAAATTCAAAGCCAAGCAAATACCGGCTCAGGGCCAGGCTGCCCCAACCCCTCACCCTTTGTAGTACTGTTCCTTGGAAAGCGTGCCTGCCTTCACCAGCTGGCACAGCAGGACCCCCATGTGCTCTCGGGAAATGGTGCTCCTCTCCAGCGTGGACTCAATGCCATTCTGCACGAAGATGTAGAGCGAGGAGGGGCTGCCCAGCTCCTGCACACACTGCAGGGCCTCCTGCAGGGAAAAGGGGGGGGCGGGTCAGTACTGCCCCACGGCCAGTCCCAGCTTCCCCCATCCTCATCCAGGCACTACCAGCACCCTGCCCAAGAGCACAACCACCCAGGGAAACAGATGGTGTGTTATGGGGGCCATATGGTGCTGTGCCTGGCCACCCCCTCCTCTCACCTTCATGTCATTGATGTGCAGGTATTCCTCTATGATCGCCTTGGATTTCTTCTCCAGCTCCTCTTCCGACAGCGCAGGCTTGGGAGACGCTGCGGGAGCTGCTGGCTCTTGCTTAACTGCGAGGAGAGAGCAAAGATCAGGCAAGGCCTGGGACAGGCAGAGCCTCAGGCCACAGCCAGACCCCCAGGACACCGCTCCTCCCCAGCTCACTGGTCTCTCGGCTCCTGTCCCGTTCCTCTGTCATGCTAGCAGCCTTGCGCACGGCCTCGGGGCCGCCCTGCTTCTCCCGTTCTCGGCTCCTGTCCTCTGTCTCTTTGCTGAAGCTCCTCTTGGTGAGAGCAGACCTGTTCCTGTCTGCCCGCTCCCCCCGGTCGGGACGCTCCAGGCGGTCACTGCTCTTCTCCGAACGTGACTCCCGGTCCCCTCTGTCCCCAGCCTTCTCTGACCTGTCGCGGCTGGAGCTGCTCCTGGGTGGGAGGACAGACAGTGTGAAGAGCCCATTGCCACTCTCCCTGACCCTAAACTGCAGAGCTCTGTGAGGCAAGGCTGTCCCAGTCCAACCTCAGCCCCTTCCAGGGCCTCTTCTAGCACTTGACCACCCTCAGGGGAAAACACTTTTCCCTGTATCTCCCCTGTTCCAACTCATGCCCTTTGCCTTTTGCTCTGTCCCTTGGCCTGAATGAACAGAGCCTCACCCCATCCTGCCCACACCTTCGCCCTGCTGCAGACTATTGTGAGATCCCCCTTTGTTTTCCTCTTCTCCTGAGCAAACCCAGCTCCCAAGTCTCCTTGGCGAAGCCCATGCTCCAGCCTCCACGGTACTCCCTCCAGCCCATCAATGTCCATCTGGTCCCAAGACCCCAGACCCGACCCAGCACCCTGGTGTGGTCCCCCAAGAGCCAAACAGGGTGCCCAGGATGGGGTCAACCTTCTTTGCTGCAAGGACTCACCACTGACTCCAAGCCCCTCCAAAGCCCCATCCTGCCACACGGGATTATTCCAGCCCACACGCCCTACGTTTGCCTATATATTGACCGGCCACTGCCCGATTCGGGGGGGGGTCCTGCCTGGGCTGCAGATCAACACTCCCACACGTCAAGGCAGGGCTGGCCCCTCACCTCTGCACCACACGGCGGGACTCCAGGCTCTCGGCAGGGGTCGACTGCTGGAGCGCTGAGAAGCGGTTCAAGGTGCTCGTGGCTGGTCGCCCTGAATCAGATGCTGGGCGTGAAAAGAGGGGAGGTCTCAGAGTTCGGCACC